TGGCCGGTTGCTAGGGGAACAGAAGGTGGATGACCATCGTATAGTGGGGGAGGATGGGGCGGAGGAAGCTGTAAGCTCCAAAAAGGTCAGAGTTCAGACTGGCATTTGTTTGCTGATACATTTTACATTCAGTTTCATTTATGATTAGCAGCAATTTGTGCTTTAATTAAACTAATTAAACCTGTAATATGAACATATTATGTTCCCCATGTAATTTAGGTACTAAAAGGTATATCTTTATCTTGGAGGAACAAAGTAAAATGTGTAAAAAGAATTATGATCAACATAGCATGGCCACAGACTAGCATCTGTCTGTATTTTTAATATGGAACTTTAATTAGGCTGGAACTGTGTTACGTGAGGTAAAAGTAGCACAGTGGGCCTCGCTGAACTCTGGTGTTTGAGAATGCAATAAAAAACTGCAAGTGTGTTATTCTGCCCAGTTAGTGTCATCATGCATTTATCCTCACAGGCGAACCGATGAAAAAAACTACGCTGCGCCAGTAAAAAGGAACAAACGCTCTGCGGATTTCAGGCTAAGGACAGATCGATATCCAGCTGTGGCAGGCTCCATTAGTATCTGAGGTTGCTGGAAATCCTGTCCCTTTCAAGGCCCATATCAAGGAATAGTTTTGACCATTTTGAGCAAGGAAAAAAAAAAACAGGTGCATTCACCCATCTCCACCCACAGAGAGTTTACTGTATAATGAGAAAGCAATTCAAATAACGCATTCTCCATTCTCTATACGGAAAACGAGGCCCCTACGCCCGAACAGCAGCTGATTATCTTAGTTTGAGCATAAAGATAGGAAACAATAGGATACAGCTAACCTGGTTCCTTGTCAAGAGGTAACCCATAATCGCACCTGCCAGCTTCTCCCTAAAGAGTATTTCTCTCTGAAATGTAGTGGAGTAGAAGTATAAGGTGACACTACTCAAATACATGTACCTCAAATTTGTACCATCTCAGTAAGTATTTCTGACATTACAGTAAACGATAGATAAAATCTACAATCTCATTAGGCCTATGTGTAGTTTTTTGAATTTGTTAAAAAGCTTCTTAATTGACATAGTTGAGTCGACTGAGTAATTGAGTTAATGGTTCAGAAATTGAGTGAATGTTTAAGGAAGTAAAGGAGTCGTCTCGTAATCTGAAGCTTTTTGGATCAATCCCTTGCTAAGGAGTTCCCCCTGCCCGGCTTAGTAACTGAGTAAACAGCTAAGTTATTGAGATTATAGATTGTCATGAGGGAAACTTTTGTCACGATTCAGTGGTTGTGCTGAAAACAATTTAGCTCTGTGCAACATGCGGGTAATGTACTTGGATTTTTTTAAACTTTGGAACGTGAAATTTCCATTTGTTGTCTTTAATCAATCATTGCCAAATTTTTATAGACTGAGATTGTGTAAAACCAAATTTGTTACGAGTCCATGTAGCCGATTACGAGATGTAGTTTTCACGTTTCTGGCATCCCTAGTGGCAGAATATCCCAGGACTGCTCCCAAACAAACATGCACCTAGTTTGTTGATAATAACTTAAGCTAATTTTGATTTAGAGGCATTTATTTTCAAATTAAAGGCACAAGTTTAAAAATGTATAATTTCAAAACCTTATAGAATATAAAAAATCCTAAAAACAGTTTTTGTCCGGGTTTTTCCAGATATGCTATGTAACCAATTTGATGCTGGTTGCTCAAAATTTGTAGCAAAAAGTAGCATAAACAAAATTTAATATAGCAGAATATTTTTTCAGATGAAAATGGGGTTGTCTCTTGGATATATTTGTCTAGACCTAGTGAATACAACATCTAGGGAAAAGAAATTTCACAGACGGGCAGTTCAAGGAGTTATAGGCCAAAATGTATTTTTTGTTATAGCACCACCATCTGGCTAATCAGCCAAAATTCTTTTAGTAGTGGGTGAGTTTGGGAACCGTAGCTGTTACAGTTTCTGAGACACAAATAGTTTTAGGCCCAGATACACTCAGCTTCCAGCAACTTTGCTGCTCGGACCCCTACAGACAGAGCCATAAACCTACAGCTACAAGCTCTACAGGTACAGACATGTAAGACTACAGTCTTACATGCTGAGGCTCATTAGCTGTGTTAAGTAGAAAGTGTAGCTAATTTGTGAATCCCTTGTTGCCATCCTCTGTGGTGAAACAAATAAAAGTTTAACTATAAAATTCATGTTTTCGTGTTACAGATTTTACAACTGTGAGGGTTACAATATAAACAATAACCAAGGAGACAACTGAGTACAAGTAGAGGACACCAACTATTTTCAGTTTTGTCTTTGAGAAGGATTGCATAGTTCAGACGAGGAAAAAAGCTTTATGAATGTGTTTAGTTTTCATACAGTGAGCACTAGGTGCTGCTGTAAGACTGTGATGCTGATGACACAGCAGTGAGCTACAGCATCCCATTATTTTGCTGCTGTGCTCTCTGTGCTGTGCCAAAGGAGCATGCCAACAAGACATCCCCGGCTCTCATGAATAATACAAGCAAGATGGCCTTGGCTCCCCTGTCACTGTAGTGAAGCCCCCGATCTGTCACACTCACCTGGATATGATACACTTTTGCTATGGGGAATAAATGCTTGGTTTGTCTATAGTCTGACATCCACAGACTCACACACATCCACAAACACACATCCACAGAAAGAGAGTGTGAGGGAGACAAATACACACTTTCACTTTCCCAGTGTTGTAAACAAAAGTATTATGACATCCCTTCCTGCCTGCCTTCCTATCTCCTGGATAAAAGGTATGAAACACATGCACGCACACACACAC